ACCAGCGCCGGTCCTCCGGGCTGACGAGCCGGTCCTGGAACACGCGGCAGCTCTCGTGGTACCAGAGGCGCAGCAGCAGCAGCTTCTCCTGCGGCGACAACCCCAGCCAGAGTGACTCAGCGACTGAGAACACTGTAGCAAAACCCACCTCACAAAGCCACTCAACATGAGTGACTTACATTAGCGGGTTCAGCTCAGTCCAGTGTTACTGAGGTCAGTGTGTAGCCCAGTCCAGTGTTATTGAGGTCAGCGTGTAGCTCAGTCCAGTGTTACTGGTCACTGAGGTCAGTGTGTAGCCCAGTCCAGTGTTACTGAGGTCAGTGTGTAGCCCAGTCCAGCATGTAATCTCTGATCCCCAGCGCCTGCCCCCCATACCCCGGTGCTGGAGGCCTCTGCCATGAGGATGCCCTGGAAGACCTTGGAGAGGTCGCGCAGGTTGAAGGTGTAGTGGGACTTGGCGGGTGTGGGCAGCAGCTGGGAGGTGATGGTGGAATAGACCCGGATGGTGGCGTCGACCAGCGGCCTGTTGAGAGGCTGGATCTCCGGCATGGACTCTGGAAAATAGCGCAGGGGGGGGGCGTCACGCGCCTGGGGGGCCCTCAGGCAGCCACAGCCATGGGGACCCAGTAAACAAGCTCCCTGCTTGAAAATCTCTGCCAGATTCTGAGAGAGAGTCTTACAAAGTAGCGTCTTACTCCTGAGGACTGTCAGCGAGTCCCTCAGGGGGAGAAAGCCATTTAATAGAGAGAACATTAGACTCCAATCATGACAGGGTAATGCACAACGATGCTCTAATCATCATGGAGGGATGATAATGATTCTCAGCACTTTACCGTTTATGAACAAAGTATTTTATATTACTGTGCATTTAGGTATTTTGTTTTAAACAGTTTCTAAAAATACAAATGTGCTGCAATCACTGGCTTTTCAAGTGAATTGTTTAGAAGATTCAGTGTTCATTCACTTGTTCCTGTTTTTTCATGGTGGTGAAAGCTTTTAATCAATTGCTTCATAAAGTTTTCTTTAATACTACTACTACTACTACTACTACTACTACTACTACTAAGACTAAGAATAATATCTTGTGTTCATAAAGCACCTTTTAATGCTAGACTACCTCAATTCTCTTTACTTAGTCAAACTATTTTGATGTACTGTGCTTAAGGTAGTGGAGTATAAAAATGTGTGTCTTATTTTCTAAATATATTGAACTGGCAACAGGCCTGTTGCATTCATTTTTTAAATGAAAATGTGCTTAGACATGTGATTATTAAAATAGAAGTAATAATAATAAAACTGTTCAAGAAATATTGCTATCATAAAGTCAACAACAAACAGAATGCCATAAAAGGAAGCCCTGCAGCGCTTGTACAAATGCCTTTTTTGGGTATTAAAATGATAATGGGAGAGCTCCAAGCTGCAGCACTCAGCCTTGGTTTCACTGCCTTATAATTCCGTTCCTAATCTACACCAAAGGACTCCTTCAGGACTGCAACTCTCAGCCTGTCTGTCTTCTGTCTGTCTGTCTGTCTGTCTGTGTCCTGACTTACTGCCTGGATCCTTCTTACTCATGTTTCCAGCTGTGGAAGAAAAAGAATATAAATCCCATTAACCCGGGTGCAAAATTCAACAAGATCACATAACCCCACTCACTAGCGATCAATGCAGGGCTACAGGATTAAGCAACACGAAGCACCATAACGTGTGCTTACATACACTATATATCCATCTGTTATGAGAAAGCATCTTGTTCCAGAGACGTATCACTACACAGGGCACAGGCCGGGGCTACACCCTGCACAGGACACACTGCAGAGCTTGCACACAAACACACAGGCACAACTTTCGCACACACGGGGACAATTTCGCGACACCAAGTAAGCTGTCTGGCACATCTTTGGAACGTGGGTGTAGGGGGATGCCTGGAAAAAAGGTGGATGTGGGCTGAACATGCAGACTCCTTACGGAAGGTGTGACCCATTG